CATATGGCATGGTTTAGCGAATGAAAAGCTTGAGCCAAATCTTTGAACAATCCAGCCACTAAATAGGCATGGTCTATTAACTTACGAATTATATCTGTGAAAGTTGAAACTGCAGTTTGCGCAGACAGACCTTTTCTGAAACCGAATTGGTGCTGAGATATATTATGCCTTTCTAAATAGTTATTAATCCGGGAAGCGAATATTTTTTTTAGGTATTATGCTGAAGATTGGCAACACTAGAATCGGACAATAATTTTCTATCCTCTTTTTGTCCGCCGACTTGTAAAGTGACACTACCTTGGCAATATTCATTAGTGCTGGAAACACAGCCGAGACAAATATAGTATTGACAATATGAGCGAGAACTTGTGACACGATATCTGTGACAAGTTTAACGGCATGCGCAGAAACGTTGTCCATTCCACGGGTTGTGTTTCGCGAGCTTGCAATAACTGGAGCAACCTCATCTGTGGGATAAAGGTAAAACTAAACATTTGTGTGCCGTATATGTGATCATTGTCTTTGAATGTACTCCGGGAAGAAAAATACGAGCATGACTTATACTTTCGGGTGTGTTGTACGTGGCAAATTATTTTTTCTGGTGGGAGTTGTTTTACGTCTCGTCCGAGAAACTAGTTGAGGAGGCTGCAGTTTTTTTAGTCACTGCCATTCTGTTGAATACATTGGCTAAAATATTTTTGTTACATAATATGTTGTATTAAGATATTGCGAGTACCTAGAGTATCTTTCTCTCGAGGAAATGTTATAAGGTTGACGTTTCAATTTTCGATACATGTTATATTTTGTTCAAATGGAACGTAAGAACTCGCCACTTACCCAAGGGTCTGGCGGAATTTTATTCCTACTGCGCACACGGTGACTTGTGGACGTGTTGGATATAGCTTCTGTAAACTTGTCTACAAATGCGTTGTAAGATTTGGTAGAACATTTCGAAGAATATACGGGCGACCAATCAATCACGTCTACATTTTGCACAAATACGTCTGCATTGCATAATGTCCATGTAAAACACTTCTTGTCTGTTTAAAACACTTCTTGAAAAGCACAGGATAGTGACCGGTTGTGCACACGTCAAGAACTTCTGTACGTTTGCAAACTGGGGCGTTTGACAATACATCGTTTGCTAAGCATTCGGAGAGGCGAGTTGGTTTGTTTATAAGTTGTGAATAGCCATAACTAGTATAACACATAACAAGAAGAAGAATGAAGATAATCACTTACATCAATATTATTATAACCCATAACTATCACATGAGAACCAAAGAATGTATTAAAGAATGAGTCAACATTTTCACAGATGCCCTGATAAGGTGCAGACGGTGACCTATATATTACGTCCACAATAAGGTTCTGTGACAGCTACGACTGACTTTCATCGACTTCGACCCACCCTGACTCACAATGAGGTGTTACAAATTCAACGTCAAATCGTCGCCTGTGTGTAATATTGTTCATTGATTGATATGTAGGTTGTAAGGTCCCAAAACTACGATATGATTATGAGAGACGCCGTAGTGGAGGGCTCCGGAAATTTCGGCCACCTGGGGTTGTTTAACGTGCACCCAAATCTGAGCACACAGGCCTGTATGTAATAATGTCACCTATGCACAGAGCAGCACCACCATGAGTCATGATAGATTAATTCTGGATCGTACGACTTTTCTTTTTTTTTTGCTTCCATCTATATAGTAACCAGGTTTATTGTACAGTCTGACTTCATTTGCAGACAACCATGTCTCTGATATGCCAATAAAGGTGAACATTATGCCTAATAGGCCAATAAAGTTGCTCATTTCGTCCTGGTTTTTTTTTTTCGTAAACTTCGCGCACTGAAACGTCCGCCCAGCGGCACGTTTTCAGAAACTGTCAAAGCATTAAAATCTTCCGCTGAGAGATAAGCCATGACGTCGTCTGATTTGGCTATTTAGCCGATGCGACTAAGATACGACGCAAGTAACACGCACTACAGAACTATCAAGTCCTTGGCGTGCCTTGATTTGACCTCGTTCTGTCCAAACAAACACCAACTTTGTTTTTCTTTTTTTTAGTTTCAGAGCATCAGCCAACAATCTCTGGTTTTCCCGGGTGAGGTGCTTATTTATGCAGATCGGCTATTTTGCTACGGTGGAAAAGGCCCGTACATCCGCGGAAAGTCGCTTTTTTTTTTGCTTGTTCATGAAACTCGTTCCTGACTTTCCTTGAGACAAACCGAACAATTATGTTTTCTCAGTTGCATTGTGCGCCAGTAATATACGATGTCAGACGTCTTTATCTTGATATTCAATCGGATAACTAAGATAGTCTTGGAGTTTCTGAACTAGTAATTCACAGTTCTCATTCCGTGTCAGAGGTATTATCTTGATTTCAACATTGTTGCTCTTGAGTATTCCTCCAAGGACATGACAAGGCTCAACAGCTTCTCATTTTGTCGCTACAGAGCCTTGTTAGCTTGCCGCAAGGCTGCGTTTTTGTCATTATTTTGTTGCATTTAATCAAAAGAGAGCCTTTCGCTCCATGCTTTTTTTTTTCATGCGATCAAACTGGGTTGGTAATTGCGCAAGATGATTGAGACGTATTTTTATATCATCGAGTCTATGCGCACAACCTGTCTTTGCAGTACAGCTTATAGAGTCCAGCGTGGCAGTAACTGAGCTGCCCCTCGTGAGGAACACATCTTTCTCGCACCCTTTCCTTGCGTCGTTTGTGGCAGAAAATGCGTGCCATATGTAATCGCAGCAAGTGATCTTATGACAGTCATTGCTGATTGATTTTTTTACATGCTAGACAAAGGTCACGAGCCATGCCATTTTTTTTTCGGCAAACAGTGCCACAGCAGCAGGAACTGGGTAATTATCTAAAAATGTAGAGCGAACCAGCAAATGCACGACGAAGTAAACTTCCACCGCTGCTGCGAGAAAATTGATCGTTCCTTGCAAAGGGACGGCGGAACCACAGCGGAGACGTGCCGCTGCTATAGCACTACAGCTCCTTCTATGCGTTTGTTTGTAACCAGCTCTGCGCGGAGTAAACTAAAAGCGTCTATTATTGCCTTATCGGTGCCTATCTGCCCGAATGCACCACACTAGCATACGCATTCTCGTTCAACTGCTTGCAGTGGCGGTTAATGGTGGCTAGCATTGAACAACACATCTAGTAAAGGTACACTTCTGTTACGCGAAAAGCAAAGCATAAAAATAAAAGAGGTAAACAAGGAAGTTGCTTGAGGATAGAAATGAATGGCAGCACCGTGTAAATCAGTTTTTACTGACACCTTTGCTTCTGCTCATGTCTATTTACGCGTATAAATGTTTTTTTTTTTTCTGTCCAGTAACTTTCAAAATATTTCATCGTATCGATGCAAGTATAAGCTTAGCGGCGCGAATCCCAATAGAAAATGCTTGGACGACACAACTAGAAAGAAAACGGGGACATGAGATTGCTAGTAAAGCTCTACTCTTAATAGGAGCATCATAAAGAAGCCGACGCCTCTAATTTCCTTGCACAACATCGGTCGGTTCCACACAAGAAACTGTATAGCTGTGAATCTTTTCGTTATTCTTGATTCCAGGTTACGCTATACCAAGCTATTCGAGGTGGCTGTCTCCGAACGAGAGATACAATTTGGTTTTATCTAACTGGCTTCATACAGATTTCTAATGCCACGGTACCTGTCAGGGTTTTTAAGCACGCAAAGCAAGAAAAACTGGTAGAAATTTCAGCAGAAAAGAACGAAAACGGCGATTTCTCTCTTTCCGGTGCGCCATTCACTACAGAATATGAATATTTTTGTGCGGTACAAACACAAAATTGGGTTGCAAATGCTCAGGTATGTTGCAAAAAAAAATTAAAAGCAGCTGCATCTGTGAGGTAATTTTCTTTAGTACTCTGGCAAAGTGTTGAGTTCAACACTGGAGGTGATGTTGCGAGTGCTTAAGCAGCAAATGGAATCGCAATGTCCTTCGGTTGTTAAGCTGTCATCGGGTTGCGAACTCAAAAGGAAACGGCATTCTTTGACTCGGTTATTATACGAGTGAGCACCCTCTTTCGAGAGTCACATTGATTCTCTTTTGGAAATAGTCACTATCTGAAGAATAGTCACTATCTACGCATGTGACTCCCACGCGTAGAAAACGAACTTGTCTTGGAACGCCAAGCAACTTGGAGCATATCCATTTAACTTGAAAAAAAAAAACAGACTGAGAACAGTAAAAGAAGCGCACAGACGGATCAGGATGACCTGTCCGTATGCTTCTTTGCGCTACTCTGCCGAATCAAGAGCTGAACGAAACACATGGACAAGTGAGCAGGACAGTGCATGACAGCGAATAGTTGATCGCAAGCAGCCTTTGGTATATAAACCACCCGTACAGATTTATCAGGTCCGTCTGCGTAAGGAGCTATAAGATATGCTTCCGCTGGGGCGCCTCATTTAAAAAGTCTCCCCAGAAGGCAAGGATCGACTATAAAAACATTGCAGTGGAATGTGCCCTTGAAGACTGATGGCGGTTCAGCAGCACCCAAAGTCCACATTAAGCACGAAGAAATTGAAGTGTTCTAAAGAAAACAATTGCAGGACCTTCAAGGGCCTTGAAAATGTACTTTTAAATTTCAAGGCCTTTGAAAGAGCTGCTTTTACACGATACCAGACAGAATAAAAGAAAGGGAAAAAACCATATTCCCAAATATTCTGCGAAAACAACAACAAAAAATGAACGCGCGAACTTGGCTATCTGAAAAACTTTACCCAACATGAGGGAGAATAATTTCGTATCCCTCAGACTGTTGCATTTTCCCAAAGAGGAGAAAATGGCTTGGTACTCAAAGTACGCGACTTCATAAAGCTAATGTTAAATAGCCAAGCGTTCAATACCAGCGACTCTTGTGAGGTTGTTCACTTGCCGGCCAGCTTTGTGGTTGACGGGTGTGCTTTACCGACGGTAGACGCGTGAAAAAGATTGGCTTTCGTGCCGATGGCCTACCTTCGTCTTCGGGTCCGCTCGAGTCGTAGCGCGCGTGGGTGCGCATGTGGCGCGTGATCATGTCTCGGCGGCAGGCGGCGTACGGGCACAGGGGACACTTGTACGGCTTCTCGCCGGTGTGGGTGCGCTGGTGCGTGCTCAGGTGGTCGCTGCGGCTGAACACCTGGCCGCACACGCGGCACGTGTACGGCTTGAGGCCCGTGTGCAGGCGCATGTGGCGCGTGAGCATGTCGCTGCGAGCGAAGCAGCGGCCGCACACGTCGCAGCCGTAGGCGCGCCCGTCGGGCCGGCCGTGGCGCGAGGCCACGTGCTTGGCGAGCCGCTCGCGCTGCGCGAATCCCTGGCCGCACGACGAGCACACGTGCGCCGGCAGGGACAGGTCGAGCGGCCCGTCCTCGGCGCAGCACGACGACGAGTCCGAGGAGCTGGTGGCCGGCGGCGAGAACACGTCGCGCCTCTCGGCCAGTTTGTCGAGCACGGCGCTGAGGCGGCGCCGCTTGCTCGTCATGTCGTCGGCGGCCCAGGCTGGCCAGGCTGCCCGGCGGCCATCCGCGCTGCTGGAGGCGATCTCGGCGTACGGCGCCAGCGCGGCACACCTGGTCGTGGTCGCCGCGTGCACGCGCCGCCACCACGCGCGCGTCTGCGGCGCCGGCTTCGAGGCAGGCCGCCCCCGTGCGCCGGCGCAGCCAATGAGCGCCCAGCGCCTCCCCCGCCACCGCCCACATCCCTCGCTTGATCGCCGCGGTGCGCTGCTTTCAACGCCGACGAGATTTTCCTCGTGCCAGAATCACCACCGCCGAAAGACGCTGGGAGAGTGTGGGTGGCGACCCAATCACTGTGACGTCAAAGACAGCGTCCTACACTGATCAGTAGAAATTAAGTGCGCTCTTCTACATGGGACCCAAGTTTCAATGCAATTCGCCCAAAATTATTTTTGAAATCGCTAAGCGCAGAGATTTTGACAGAAAATTTTAAAATAAAGCCGTGATTTTCTCCTTTGCTGATATGCCCACATTGAATGAACGATGTTAGTGTTTTCGGAGTAAATTTTATCAATCCGAAAGGATTCATCGTTACTGTCGCAGTTGTCGATCATAATCTGTGGCCGTACGTGTGTATTAAGCTGGCGAAATTCTCACGCATTTGGTGGAGCGCTTAAATCTATAATCGAATATTTTAAAAGCGCGCGAGTGACCTGAGAGTGGGACTTGACAAGCATTCCGGCCAACGATATGGCGGTGAGATATCCAAGCTTGCTCGACCCAGAGCGGCTAAAAAAATTCGGCAGGTTCCACGTACCCTGGCAATCGACGTTATGCGAAACAAGCCGAGGGAAGGTGACCGTGTTGTAATTTTTCTATTAAGGCACATGTTGTGGAATGCCACTAAGTATACAAATGTTGCACACACAGGCATGTGTTGAACAGCTGCAGATGTTTATGTAACAATTTGTTTGCGCTGATGTAATGATGCCGACAGGAACACGAGTATTAGCAACACCAGAAGTGATAAGCTTACATGAAACGCTGGCGCTCGCGGAGATGGTAGCCCTGCACACTGCTACATAAATCAACTTCATCGAATGACGCCTAACTGCAATCGACGTTACCAAGATATGACAGCTGTGTCATAGGAGTACATATGTAATGTTAATGAAATTGGATAGCTTGCACTGTAAACCCAGTTGACGTTTCGCGAACAGAGTATATTTGAAAACTACTTCCAACACCTGGCGTGGCTCTGTGGTGGAACTTCTTTCCATACAGAATGCTGGATGGAGTTCGATTCCTTCTGTGGTTTCCGTCTCAAAACCACAATGTGATTTTACTCGTGGAGGGCTCTCAAAATTTGAACCATCTGGTGTTCTTTCACGTGCCATTCAACGTATATAGTACATATGGCCCTATCATTCGCCTTCATCGAAATGCGACCACAGCCACAGGATTTGCGCGTAATCTAATCTTAACAATTTCGAAAATACGGATTATCGTGGTGCAGCTTGCGCCCAACGATGTGATAACTTTGTTCTGTTGTTTAAACCCGACCACAGGAAAGCGAAACAAAAAAAAAGTCACAGTTTCTCCAAAAGAACAAAGCAATGAATGCAATAACAACATATTATAATGTTTTACGATGCAAGGCTAGTATTTTTAGGAGCAATATCAATTGTAGTAAACATACGCTTGCTAAGTAACCAGGTATCCTGCGGCGCGGCCACATGAGTAACTCTACAAAACGATTGTGTAAGAGAACACGGCCACTCCAGATACACTGCTGGTACCGTTTTTCCGGGTTGAGAGCGCAGCCCATAGAAGCCCCCACTTGCTGTGGGGGCAGAAGCGCGCGTTCATCGGGGTCGCGATAACGCCGCAATCATAAGCGCCACCCCCCCCCCCCCCTTCCTTGTTCGGTCACGAGATAAGCGTGCGCGCAGACGACCCCAGCCGGAAAGGGGATGTTCGCTCCCCAGAAAGAGGACGATAGCGCATCCTTCCCCATATATATATATATATATATATATATATATATATATATATATATATATATATATATATATATATATGTTTTATCCTATAAAACCTTCATTCGACCTACAATAGAATACGCTAACTTAGTCTGGTTCCCAGCCACAAATAACTTAATTAAAAAGCTAGAAAGTGTACAAAGAAAGGCGGTTAGATTTATTTACAACAAATACAGTCTGCTCGATTCACCTACTGAATTAATCGCAAAAGCTGGGTTACTAACATTGCGAAATCGCGCTCAACTCTCACGTTTAAAAATGCTCTTCCAACTCATTCATAAACAGCTAAACATCGACAGCTCTAGGTTCATATCAATTTCGGAAACTAGACAGTCACGCCATAAACATCCATTAACTTTACAGGAATACCGTTTCAACAGCAACTGCTTCAGGTATTCTTTCTTCCCACAGTCAATTAGAGAATGGAATAGATTACGCGGCTGTATAATTAATAGTAAAAATTTGAATACATTTTTGATGTTGCTTAATAATCATACTTGTGCCACCCATAGTTAAATTGATGTTTTTTTTTTTTGCTCAATTCTTGAGTGCCTTTTGATCATGAGAAGTATATCAGTGTCGTACGCATGGAAAAGTCTTTCATGTTTATTAGTGATATATCTTGCATGTTATTAATAACCGTCTATTATGTACCAAATCTGTGTTCTAAATGTTTTTCACCACATTGTTTATGCTCCCATATAATCCATGTAATATCGTATAAGATCTGTAGTCATACATTTTCACTTTTTCAGTGTAAGTGTATCTATAGTATCTTTTGGTTGCCCTCCTGCAATAGTCCCCATTGGGACTGGCAGTATGTATAAATAAATAAATAATATATTATATATATATATATATATATATATATATATATATATATATATATATATATATATATATATATATATATATATATATATATATATATATATATATATATATATATATATATATATATATATATATATATATATATATATATATATATATATATATATATATTGCAGAGGAGAGGAAAGAGACAACGCCTGTATGCCAGGCCGGCTGTTCTTACTCTGCCTTTTTCGCCTAGCTCCTCGCGCAATGGAGATCCGATGGATGCCGCTGTCATCACACTCGGCCATGACTGCGTGCGCGTGGAGCTGCTTTCAGGTGGGTGGGGTCGGCTGCATCACGCTGGAAGTTTGTCAAAATTGGCTCCGGTGGTTGACACTGGCCATGTCATCTGGGTCGTTGGTCATGTCGCGATGGAGACTGGGTCTCGATTGATCCCTTTTTTTATGACGACTCTGGGTGTCGACATTGACCGCGTCGTGGTGGTCTACGACCTCGGCTACGCTGCGACTTTTTAATTAAAGCAGTTCGATTTTGCTTTGGTGGATGGAGCTCGTGGTAGTCCAAGTTCCCTGCAGTGATCTGGTTGGGAGTCCAGTTTCCTTAGTGATGATTCTGGCGGTTGTCCTGACTAGATCGACATGGTCGCACGTTGATTCCGGAACACCTCCCTTTGTCTCCCCCATTTTGAAAGACAGGGCACGAACTGGTGGATCCAGCAACGCAACAGGTTGCACCACGCGAGGCTGTCTGCGCATTCTGCAGCTGGTCGAGAGGTGCCTGGATGTCCTACTCGACTTCTGCGTCAACTTAAGGTGAAGTTCTGGCGCTGACCTGTCGTGTGCCTGGTGCTTTTGCAGAGGGCTAGCTGTTGGTTTCTTTAACATTCTCAAATCTGCAATTCTTGAAGCCTCGCGGCGCACAGGTGGGATATCATCGTCGGATGCCGTTGCAACAGAAGACTTGAGCTGCACATGAAGGTGTTCGATGAAATTGATGTCAGACTTCTCACAGAACTTTGTGTCTTCTGAAAAGTCCTCTCTGAGCTCACAGAACTTCGTGTCTTCTGAAAAGTCCTCTCTGAGCAAGTCCTTAGGGCTGTTTCGTTCAGCCAATGAATGCATCACACGCAGATCCAAGTCCGTCTTGTCAGAGAAGATGTTTGTGAAATCCGTAGCGAGGCACCTGATAGGGGATGGAACACCCACTGTGACATGGGCTTGTGCATTCAAGTGCTTAGGTGATGGCAAGCATGGGTACAGATTTCCCGATCCATATAGATGCGGAAAGCTTTCGACCACTGGAATGGGTGTTTTGGTACCGGATATTGTGGCAGAGCCACAGCATGTCTTCAGTCCTGTGTGGTTACAAGGCCCAGCTGTGCAGCTCTCTGCGGGCGAGCTGCAGCACGCAGATGCAGCCTTGAGGTGGGGCCCTACCTGAGCTTCGTCCTCGGGGAATATCAAATAGGACTTGCTGGAGTCGCGGAGAATTTCGGCCGAAAGCAGCAATCAGTGGTGCACTCCATTCTGTCCAGGACTGCTGCCTGATGCCTTCGTACCTGTGCCATGCCGCGGCACCACCCCGAAGGCGGTCCACGGCCACACTCCACTTCTGCTTATCGGTCCACGCATTGCAAGCTGCGAGAGTGTTCACGGTCGCCACCCTGTCGTCGGCGTGTTGTCTCCACGTAAATAGTCGGCTTCTCAGTCGGCCGACACTGCAGAGCAGGCCGCCTGAGCCCTTCAGAGTACGTTGTCGCCCATCATGTCGGTGGCGCATCATTCCGTGGCTCCCGCATGGCCCGCCGAATTTCTTCTCGGACAACTTTAGCGAGAGACAGCTCTGGGGCGACATGAGGTGACTGCAGTGTCCGTAGCTCCTACCGGACAACCAACCTGACGAGCTCCCGCAAGGTGTCAAGATTATCCACGATGCCTGCCGAGTAGACTCCAGCTGATGTACTGGCTACATCGCGTTTGTACTGTCGGGCTCTTTGCTGAAGCGTCTTTTCGATGGTTGTTGCTTCGGACCGAAACTCAGCAACAGTTCGGGGCGGGTTGCGAACGAGTCCCGCGAAAAGCTGTTGCGTTACCCCATGCATGAGGTAACGCATCTTCTTGTCTTCCGTCATGCTGGAGTCAGCTCACTTGAAAAAGCGGGACATGTCTTCTATGTACATCGTGACAGTTTCGTTCGTTCGTTGATTTCGTGTATGAAGATCCGCTTCTGCTTTTTCCCGGCGATCATTGTTGTAGAACGTACTCAGTATATAGTTGCCGCCAAAACTCTTGCCACGATGTCAGCGATACTTCGTGGTTTTCATACCACACTCGCGCA